TATTCTCTAGATCCTTTAGCAAACCTAAATTATCTTCAACACCACGCTTACAATCGATCGAGCTGCTATGGTCAACCAGTGCACAGTTTGCCCTGTGGCTATCCTTGCTGAACTGACGTGGAATTCGTTTATGTCGCTTGCACTCACCCGTCATTATATGGCACGTGTGTGATTGTAGTAGTTCTCTACTTCCATGCTTCATTGACCCGGTTCACGTCACTTGGCTTGCTGGCGACCTCCTGCAGGCCATCGTTGGGTTTGGTATAAACATGCTTACTCTGCATTGGATCTCGCCTGGTCAATGTTTACAAGGTAGTGTATAACATTCTGTTTTACTCTGCTATCGGTCAATGAGAATCTATTTCATATCAATGACGCATTTTCGTATCCATATATTAGACTCGGTTCCCGTTCAACACAATGCTTACAAATCGATCGGGCCGCTATGGTCAACCAGTCCATGATTTGCTCCTCGGTAAGGTATAATTAACTTTAGATATTTCAACGTTACATACTGTATGTGGTTGGTTTATTCAAAGTGTGTACAAGCTATTAAAACTTTTAAATTTTTCCCTCTAAAAAAGCTAGGATGATGATGTCATCTTTGGTATTAGTACGGTGGTACTATCGAGGGCAAGGTTATCAACAAATCGAGATAGGATGACTTAAACCAGGTCAAGTGCTGGAGGAACACTGCAGTGATGTGCTTGTCAATAAAGACGACACGATATATGCCAATTCAGAACTTGGACCGTTCCTTTGTTCAGACCATACATAGTGCGAATGTCATCCTTTACTGTATATTAAAATACTAGCTATCTCGCATGTAATTTAAATTGAAAGCATTACTACTCTATCTACCATCGTCATTATAATATTGACATCTTTATTAAATTTTGGAAAACTTGAATATGATTGGCATGATCTTTTACTTGTCTGCAAATACGACCATCATTTCTTGAGCCTCAGTACATATGTGAAGATGTTACCAAGTCTCGCGGATCAACATCCTTGTTGAATCACGCATCTATGGCATAGCGAATGCCTGAAATAACCGTTTGTTCATCCTGAAAGACAAAATCACCAGGTATCCTCAGATCCGTTAGTTGTCAGGCATGGCACCATACGATGACATACGAGTACCGTCCTTTATTCTTTTTTTTTGCACCATCGACTATGATACTTGGAAATTTTATGATATGATAGCGGTACTCATTACATGATATTTGACATAATAGTGCTACTGATACTATTTTAGTGGTTATGTACATGAGTATTAAAGAGAGAAAATAACAGCTTACCACCGTGAAAGTGCTAGATTATATGGTAGCTGATATATGTATTTCTACCGCTAAAAACATTAAATTATATAATGTGCATACGCTTTTATATGGTACTGCTGTAGTTTAAAACTCATGTAATTTATTAGAAGAATAATGACGGTGCGCTTTTCATTACATCCTTGTTGCTTCCTTGCGGTGCTTATAAATGAAAGAGTAAATACAATACTGTATGGGGAGGAGCGGAGTAAGTTTGGACGACTGAGTGCACTATGTGTGATGGTTGACAGTAGAGCCTCTTCTAGTCAATACAGACAGTATTGCTCTACAATAAATCTAGAACAATTGAACAAGTCCACATGAGCAGGTGCCTACGTTGTTCAGAGTGCTTTAGGTGCCCGTCTTGTTGATGAGGATCGACGGGCTACCGTGGACAGATACCCCGCCAACCTTCTTGGTAGACATGATATACAGTGCCCTAGCAATTTTGTCCCTTTGTGCCCGACTTCGCGTCGATGACTAGCACCGCGCGAAAAGTCCAATATCAAGGGCTTTTAAAAGACCTTGATATTTGTATATAAAGAGGCAAGGTGGGCCTCCACAGAAGGTGGGGGTTTTTGGAGATTGGATGCGGTAGTTATGCATGAAGTATTCTGTTTGTGTATGTAAATTTACTATATTGGTACAAAAAGTTCCCAGTATATGCAATAGCTGCAAGAACAGAACCTCATGTTAGTTACTCAACTACTACATCGATGAAGCACTCCGAGTGTATGCTTTGGCTACAAGAGAAGTCTTTTATGAGTTTTCTTTCACATACACCAGTATGCACCATTCGATTATCTAAAAAATGACAGGTCTCGCACTACCACTGTTCTGCATCATCTTCATAATCCCCTACAAACCCTTGCATCAAAAGATCATATGTACTTTCTATAGTGCTGTCTTACAAACATATACAGAGTAGCCAAAAATGCCGCTCTTGTATACATAATTGATATCATGCTGAAACCAATTGGATCTAAAAAGGATGTATGATGCATTTTATATATACAAACATTCTCATCGCGTATTACAAGGCAGCACATGTTTTACGATGCTGATTGAATGTGTTTATCTTTCATACTGTTGTAATTGACGATTGCAATCAAGATGAGGTTCATAAAAGTAAAAGTATGGTAATAAAGTTGCACAATATAGAATGCGTTGAGGGAGTAATCAATGGTCTCAGTTGATCCTCTTTTCTATATATACTTAGACTGCTTCCATGCATTATTTCTTACACTTCCTTTTTTTCTGCATGGCCTGTTACTTTTCACTATGGTCATGGCTTTTGCACAGGCCACTACTTTCTACAACGCTTTAATATTCAGTACTAAGGGAACGCCAAGTGGATACAGCTTCGTCATGCCTTCATAACCTCAGGTGTAAGGTGGTAGGTAAAGTTGGTGTACAGAAAGATGGATGAAGTATCAGTCGGTGGAATTGAGTGCTACTTGCATAATCTGTTACAAATGTTTGTATCGGATTTTGTGAGTATGCATGTGATGAGTACTTTTGAAAGTTTTTTTTCTTTGGTTCACTGAAATCCCTTTCTCTTCCTCCTCCTTCTTCGATTTTAATTTACGGTCCTGTTGGAAGGTGATCCTCTTAGCTCTTATCCTTTCCTTACATTTCCTACGACCTATATTGTTAATACTAGTGCACGCCTTCACTATACCATTTCCTACAACAAAGTTCGTACTTTATGCCTTTTGAAGCTGCCGTCGCTGCCAAATTTTATATACTAGCTAGAAGAGTGTAAGTTTCTCTTTTTTTTTATTATAACTATATATACCATTCATCCAGAACCCTGATTAAATACAATGTACCATTCCTCTCACCGTGCCGTATGTACACTACGAATCTATTCATGCTTTGCTAATGTTTCCTAACGTGATGAAATGGAGTGCTACTATTATGGTTGACTCATATAGACGGTGAGGATCAAGGCCACATAGGTATGTATATCTTTGTTAGTACTTTTTTCTTATGACATATAACGAGCTTCGTTATCTCCGCACTATTGGTATATATCAAACTTCTCCTTTCGCGGCCGGTCTTAACTCCTTCATCCTGTGAATAATGCATTCTGGATTCTTCACTAACAATCTTCAATGTATCTTTTAGGTATGTCATCTTCAAAATCGTCTATAAACATCTCCTTCTGCGCTGTTTTTGTTTTCACTTATAAATTGACTCAACATGCATCTTTCCATAGTAGGATCGCTGTCCTTTGCACTAGCTCTTTTCAACTACAGCCTTCCTTTTAAAATCATCACATAACGTAGACTTACATTTGATGACGTTCTTTAATGTTCTATAAAGCATAATCTTGTACTCGATTTTTTATACAAATATAATAATAAAGACGGTTGTGAACACCCATAATTAGACCGTGAATATAAAAACCAATAGCATGCTTTGTCCGTTTACTATATGTGTAATATAAAGAACGAAAATATGCAATGTGTATTCCTTCTTTTTACGAACCTACTACAGAAGGCACCTGGTCCATATGCAATGTATGGTAAGACCGTTATAGATATCTACATGCATGATGTAATCAAATCATAAGCTTGGGGGACTATATGCACATAAAAATATCAAGGTGTAAAAAAACCTTGATATTTACTCGAAAAGCTGAATATCAAGGTATTTGAAAACATCTTGATATTTTATAATAAAGCTGTATATCAAGATAATATCAAGCTTTTTTCTACCCCTTGATATTCCCCTGCAAGCCCAGTGAGGAGGGACGCGTCGTGCCCTTGAGAAGCATTGATTTCTTGTGCTTATATATAAGTCTTCTGTTCAAACTTGCTCATAGATCACAGCCAGATTTTAATAAATCGAAGAATTCTGCAGTACAGTGTAAAATTACTTGATATAGGATATTCTATACTATTTCTACATAGAATATGAGAAAGTTTCATGAATATTTGCCCAGCAAACGTTTATACTATACGTCAAGAAAAAGTATGTTATCAAGCTGACAGCTGCATTCGGTATAAATCAAAACCATTGAGAGACGAAGGAAATCTATGTGGAGGAAAATTAGAGAAGATATATATTATGGTTTATTATTATAAAAGAGAAATACAAAGAGAAAAACCTTTCTATGTAGCGCTGTGAATGTATGAAATATTAAGTATAGTGGAGGCGCTCCTGTACAAAAACGTGCTGAAGAATCAAACAAGGCAAGTTTTTACTAATACGTCTTCAAAATTTCCTCCTTATAGGCACGACACATCCCACCTACATATGTCATCGAATTGTCTTCTTACATAATACATACGCGCTGTGCTTCTTACGGGCACGACACCACCCATCTGCTATAATTAACACAAGAGTGTCAGCTATTATGCTGCTCTGTGTAACATATCATATTTATTATTAGAGCTTGTCATGCCCCGAACATATAAGGAAATAAATTGTCGTGCCTATATCAATTCCCTTCTGTTTATTGTGGTTTGAACCAAAGCCTTGTTTGAGAAATGGCCAAAGAGAAAAGGGAGAAGAAGCCGATGTTTAAATACTAAGACTGCAAAGAGGTTGTGCAGGCGTATAATCACTAAGGGGATGCTTCACAGTTCCAAGTGACACACAGCGTTATTACAATATGCTGTAAGGAAAGAGCAATTGGGGCAACGGTAACGAAGGGTGATGACGCAACTTGAGATGGCGGAAATTGAAACCGCCGCAGCAAGTTACTATTTCGCCAATGGCAACCGGTGGTTGCTACGCGAAGCTCTTGTCAATATTCACCTTTTCTTCGAGATGCCAGAATCTTTGTCAAGTGACAAAGTCCCAAGTGACAAACCTCTACTGGCCAAAGGTAATAGAAAAAATAAAGTCGTGATTATATATGCAGAAATTCTAATACATTTCTCTTTTTGAAAAGCTTTTCGAGAGTACTTTTCCCAAGAAACAGCAAAACCAAGTCTTGCAGGCTTCTATTTGCACGACAAAGACTTCTTCATTGCAAACACAGGTAGAAGCTCGCCTGTTGAAATATGGAAAAAGGACTTTTGTGATGCTGTTCGAAGAGAAAAAATCTTGGTAAAACTTATCTAGAGAACGCGTCCCTGATATGTATGTATTATCTTACGGCTAATACATCACTCCTAAAAGAAAAATTTACAGAAGCAACCTGATTGGTCAGAGATCCTACAAGCACTACTTTGCAACGTGAGTCATAGCCATATCAAACAATAGTTTATAGAAAGAAAAGTGTATCTGATCCATTAACAACATATGCATTACAGAAGGCCGATGATAACAATTGCGCCATAACAACAACCAAGCAAAAAGGGAAGGCGCCCGCACGCTCAACGTTATCAGCAGCCATCACAAAAACAACATCATCATCATCATTATGTCCATCATCGTCGTCATCTGCATCATCAACAGCCTCAAAACGAACTCATGTCACCTCAGACAGTTCAAAAAGCGATTCATGCCTGCTTACTGAAGAAGCAAAGAAAGGATTCGAAGATGCATTTAAAAGCATGGAAAACAGTCACAAATGGGTACCTAAAGAAAATACTCAAGGTGAAAAAGTGTATGAACACTGTTTATGAGGCACTTGTAGACAAGTGTTTGGAATGATTACCATCATTCTAGGGTTATGACTACCGTCATAATGACCAGCTACCCACGTCATCAAAAATCAAAGATTTTATCTGACCACCCCTAATTATATTAATCATTTTCTATCATTTAAGAATAAAACTTAATAACTAAATATATAAAATAAATTAAAAATGTAAAAATTAATAAAGTATTGAACAGCCTGCTTCTAGAAATCAATTTATACATTTAGTCTATTTCTAAAAACTGTTTAACTATTTCATCATATTTATTTTTTCCACAATAATTACTCCATTTAACTAAATCTTTAACTTCTTTTATATAAATATAACCTTTTCTTGATACCCATCCTGATAATTCTTCTCTAATAATTCTTCTTCTTTTTTATTACTTTTTAATGTCATATTAATATGAGATCTTTTTGTTTTTATAGTTTCATCATAATATGGTCCATCATACAATATATCTTTAATTTTTAACTTTTTAGATTATTTTAAAATATTTTTTTTTATATATTCCATACCTTTTCCCAAACAATCTCTTTTTTTAAAATCAATAGATAAAACAACAGCATAATATTTTTCATTTTCTTTTTTCATCTTATTTTTTACATTAAATTAAAATTCAATTTTAATAACTATGTAAAAAAAGTATCAAAATTTTTAAAAAAAATTCTCTATAGAACAAAGGACCTAAAGTTCCTTTAGTGTAGGATAGAATGTATCAAATTTTGTTACAAAATTCTCTACAAGAACACTGTTTATGAGGTAGACAAGTGTTTAATATGATTACCATCATTCTAGGGTTATGACTACTGCTATAATGACCAGCTACCCACATCATCAAAAATCAAAGATTTTATCTGACCACCCCTAATTATATTGATCATTTTTTATCATTTAAAAATAAAACTTAATAACTAAATATATAAAATAAATTAAAAATAAAAAAATTAATAAAGTAGTGAACAGCCTGCTATGTGGAAGATATCATGTATCAGCGTGGTCTCGATTTCAAATATGAACAGTAAGTCTGTATTTTTAGGGTTACAGAATTGTCTGAGTTTTATGCTAACTCTACTGTTACTTTTGTAGCGCCGTGCATTCGTTTATCTTAGATCCAGCCGACGATTATTAGGATGGAATCTTTTCTTCAGATGAGATTACGGATTTATATCGCTCCGGTGATATCTCGCTTCCTGCCCTCCCTGAATCAAGTCACAATATATTTGATGCATGCCAAGAAGCAGTGGCTGGGATCATTGGTGATGACAACGACGACGACGAAAACCACAAGAATGCTGTAGAAAAAAACGGAAAGATCATTGATGCTTTATGGGAAACTGTTGCATACATGGGACCTTACAATCCTCGTACAAGCTACAATGAAGACTGGATACAATGCAGCATCCTTGACTACCTTCATTTATACTGACTTCACAAAATCAATGAAATCACAAGCAATGGTTCAGAAATGGACTATGTGATTAGATTTCGGAGCAATTTGGATAGGCGTCCTGCTATTAGTTGTCTAACTAATTATAATCTACTAGCTGTAATATAGATAATAAAATTGCTATAGTCAGTATAACCATCAGTAGCCGAATCAATTATTGATTTACAATAAAAATAATAAAAATTGAATTTTTTTATTTATATTGGTAGCCTCCCATGAGAAAAAAAAGAGCGATTGTTTAAAGCACATAACAACAAATAAAAATGAACACAACACAACACACTGAACAACTCGATATTGAAATTAAGAATTTAATTAATAATAAATGGACTTTTCTTAATAAATCTTGGCCTGAAATGCAACATAGATTTAATCATAAAACAGCTATTAAAGATATGAAGAATAATACAATAAATGATATAAAGGATGTACTACTTAATAGATTTGGATTTATACCTGAATTTTATTTTCTTACTGTTTTATATGGAAATATTAAATATCCAGGGCTATACCGCGAGATTGAAAAAGGACTTGCATTATTATATCATATGGTATCAGGTGTATCAGGAAAGGATATGCATACTGTTATGCCATATGCAACATTTTATGATTTATATAAGCGGTTCTGGATTACTAACTATAATGAATTGAATAAAAAGGTAAAATAAGATCTAGATGGTATGTTCTCATCACCACATATTTGCATTCTATCAGCAATAATAAACAATCTAGATGGTTTTAAGAATGTTACACTATTTATTGATGGACATGATAGTAAAATAAAGTATTATAAACCAAATGAGTCACATTCACAATTATATTCATATAAATTAAAAGGGCCAGCTGTACGTACATAAGTTATACAGGATATGAATGAAATAATTACACATGTTTCAGTATCTGAAAAATGTGCTATCAGAAATGATGGTACTATGTTTATTAATATGAAACTATATAAAAAAATAAGTGAGGCAGATTGTTTAGGAATGGATGGTGGATATAACTTATTTATACAAAAGTTCAAAGATAATGCGACAGATGCTAGATATAGTTTTTATGATCGTAATTTTTTACATCCCATAAGAAAAGAACCAGGACAAAAGTTAACAATCAATGAGACATACTTTAATAACAAGTTTGGATCATTTCGTTCAGCAATAGAAGCACAGTTTTCTATGTTAGGCTCTAAATTTGAACGATTTAATAATAATCGTGCAGCATTGCAAATAACTGATATAAGATATTATAATATTCAGTTTCGTGTTGCTTATATTCTTACTAATATATGGCGATTTGTAAATAAGTATAATATAGAGGTACAACCACATCATACATTATGGTATGGAAAAGATTTTGAATTCCCAAGTAAGAAAAACAAACTTGACTTAGTATTTTCAAATGAGCAAAAAGTAAATACTGAATATAACGAAATGGTTGACATGCAGCAGAAAGTTCTACAGCTTAACATTAATCAATCAATAGATATGGCTATAGATAGTGAGGACGAAACTGAAAATAATACATCTAAACGCAAGAGAAAAAATCAAAGAGAACAGAGAAATATAGAATATAGTAATTCATATGAAATTGAGAAGATTGTAGGACATGTGTATACTGATAATAAGTACATATTTGAGGTTAAGTGGGTTGGATATAGTGTAAAGGATAATAGTTGGTTAACAGTTGATAAGTTTAATTCCCAGGAAATGCTACATGAATATATGGCCACACATGGTATTCAGCTCTAAATTAATTTCTTACTTATTTGCTTATTAAAAAATCTCATATTGAAACTGACCGTATCAACCTTTCGTTTACTTACCCAATTATATTTATGTTTTATGCATTCATTAGTTATACTTGTACTTATATTAGTATCTGTTGATTTATTTTTGACATCAGTTTCTTTTGTTATATTTATATCATCTATTATAGCCTGTTTTATATCCTTATGCTTTTTAAAATATTCTTTTGGCTATATTTCTTCTACTATTTGCTTGTTTCTCCGTTTATTTCTATTGTATCTTTTTTTCTTTTTACGTTTTGGTATATTATTTGGTATGTTGCAGTCACTGCTTTTCTCTGATTCAGGTGCACTTACATCTATGTATTTATATTTCTCTATATCTTCTGGTAGGTTTTCCCAATCAGTAGTATCATTTATAACATCATCACATTTTATATCATTAAACACATTTTCCCAATGCCTATAATCTGCTGATGGTGGTACCTTTACAGTTGACCATCCTCTGTTTGTTTGTTGAGGTGGTTCATATTGATTGTTATTTTGTATATTATTATTATTATATTTTTCCTCTTGTGTTTTCATATATTTATCTGAATCAGCCAATTCTTGTAAAATCTTCTACGGAGGATGTTTATTAGTTGAAGTTTTTCATCTAAACTAAGGTCAACAAAATATTTAAGACTCACAAAAATTCCTCATGTTTACAAAATTATTATATTTTTAAAATTGAATATAAAAAAAATTGAATTTTAATTAAATATAAAAATATATTACAATAGATAACCAACAAATAGATGAAAAGATTAATAATGAAGTTAACAAAATTATTGTTAATAAGTAGGAACTTTTGGAATATAACTGGCCAATTGTTAATTATAATTACAAGCATCGTACAGAATTAAAACATATTAAAGGTATTGATGATATTAAAAAGATTTTAGTAGATAAACTTGGTTATATAGCTGTTTTTTTCTTTTAGGTTGTTTTATATACTAGCTGTGAATATCCTGGCCCTTATTTTGAAGTTGAAAAAGGTTTATTTTTATTATATCATTTAGTTTCTAGTGTTTCTGGTATTGAAATTAATAAGTTTATCCCGCAAACATCATTTCACAAATACTATAAAAAGTTTTGGATGGATGAAAATAACTATAAAAGGTTAAATAAAATTGTTAATGATTCTATGGAGAATATGTTTTCTTCTTTAACTTTAAGAATTTTATCTTCTTATAAATATAATCCGCCACTTTTTAAACACATAACTTTTATAATAGATGGTTATGATTCAAGAATTAACTATGTTAATACTAATATAAAACATGAAAGATTATGGTCATATAAATTTAAAAAAAATGGAGTTCATACACAAATTGTTAGTGATATTAACGATATGATTTTATATACTTCCAAAAGCGATTATTGTTCTGATAGTTCTGAAGGAAGTATGTTTTTGAACATGAAATTATATAAAAAAATATCTAAACAAGATGTATTAGCAACAGATGGTGGTTATACTTTATTTGTTAATCAGCTTATAGAACTTGGTACGGAAAAAGGATATGATTTATCTTTAAATAATTTTGTTTATCCTATATGCAAAGAAAAGAATGTAGATTTAAAAGCAGAAGAAAGGCATTATAATGATGTTTTTGGTAGCTTCCGTTCAAAAATAGAAGACTAATTTGCTGCAATAGGTAATAAATTTTATAGATTTAATAATAATAAATCTATTGTTAAGATGGACAACATAAAGTTTTATAATCTTCAATTTTGTGTTGCTTGTTTATTGAAAAATATAAAAATATTTAGTGAAAAGTTTAATATTAATATACAAGTACATCATAAATTGTGGGAATCAGATAATTTTGAATTTCCATACGAAGCTAAATTAATAGATTTAGTTATTAGCAATACATCTGAGGCAAAAAATAAATTAGATGAAATGGTTAAATTATAGGAACAGTTTTTAAATAATTTAAGTATAGATAATACTGATATGATTATTGATAATGAATACATCGATGAAAATGATAAAGATGTTTCCAGCGAAGAAGATGTACCTAAGTTCAATGAGAAAAAAAGAAAAAGAAAAGGTAAAGGCAAAGGAACATTAATAGATATAAATAAAATTAGAAATAATTCAACTTCTAATATTTCTTATGAAATAGAATCCATAATAAATCATAAATTTGAAAATGACTCCTATATATTCCTAATTAAATGGAAAGGTTATAATGAATCCCAAAATAGCTGGATATCAATGAAAGATTTTAATGAAACCGATATGTTAAATAACTATATGGAAGTTAATAAATTAACTTAGATAACTCGATACTCTACCCTTCCTAATAAAATATCATAGTTATTTTATTTTATGTAAGATATATTATTTGAGTGTGTATAGTGGATAACGTCGGTTCCTATTATTGTAATAATCTTTTAAGTACATTTGCTAGGTTAAAACTTCCACTGTTGCATATATATATTTTTCTAGATTTTCTTTTTTTTATTCTTTTGTTATTAGTTTTATGTATAAAATCACCATCATTAACAATTATGCATGGTAAATTAGGATTTTCCATTTTTTTTGTAGATTTTTTATTTTTTTTCTTTGGAACATGAAGTTTACTATGTATAGTACAAAGGTAATCAGGTTTAGGTTTATCTCCATTAAGATTAGTATTAATTTTTCTGTGACACATATGGCCATTTTTCTTACCTCTTTTATGTATGTAAGTGCACACATTATCGCTTGTATTAATATACCAAAAATAATTATCTTTAACTTTATTAATTTCTTCATTAATTTTTTTTTATAATCATCTTCTTACTTTCAATATCTTTAACTAACATTTCATCTTCAAAATAATTATGCATAACTTGCTCCATTAAATCTTTAATAGAACAAATCATACTATTCTTATTAATAAGAAGTTCAGTATTTAATATAACCATTTGAATTTTTTATACTAAGTAATATTGGAGGTATTTATTTTTATATTAAAAAAAATTCAGTTTTTTTTTTAAATAAAATTTAACAGTATGCACGATTTCAAACTCCGAGAGTAAAAAAAAAAGTCAGTTAAGAAAAAATTTAAAGAAAATTTATTAACATCGTGTTAATGTTTATTCCTCTACTGTTTTATCCATAGGTTTATACTTTTTAACACCATCTTGGCCACTATTAATTGCATATCGGATAAACGTATGCTGGTCTTGGTATTCATTTCCATACTCATTTTTATATAAGTCCTCGTATATATCCATATTTTCATAATACATGAACTTATCTTCATAATCTTTAACATTCATTGTATATGGATTCCATATGATATGACCTTTGCGATTCTTATCAATATAAATTATATATAAACGGTTAAGTGTTGGCTCTAACTCATATACTAATTTATTTTTATAAAGCATATGGGGCATATAATTACTATTTAATAGTATTGGCATATTCTTTTTTTTTTGTAATTGATTTGGTAAATTTGCCATTAAGTTTTAGTCGTGTTCCTTCTAACATTTGGTTTAAAAATGTTAGTTTGAAATCAGAACCAGTTTCCTCATTATACATAAAGTCATAATCATCATCTTTATAATCTGACCAATCATTGTCTTTACTCATTAGATATGCCCTGTGTCCACCTTGTTCTAACATATCAATGTTATATGTTTTTCCAACATTTGATGGACCAACAATCCAGTATTGTGGTATTTTGTTTTTACTGCTAAACATAGTTTCAATACCAAATATAGACCACATATACAAATCATTTCTAGGAGTATTTTCCATGTCAGCATCATGAAAATAGCTATTAAGATTAGACTTTACTGTATCATATTTCCATAGTAATTCTGGATATATTTCTATTGCCTTTCTCATAGTAAGCTGCTTGTTAATTAATTGATAGCTAAGTAATTGTTGATGCATTTTTCTAGTTTTAATTTCGTAGTTTGGGTCTATATTATAAGCAATATAATTATTTCCTTTAATGCAGTAACTGATAGATTTTTGTGGATTACCACCTGGTTTAATACTTGGAGTGATACCATCAATAGTGAAAAACTTACGTGCAGTTTTAGTATCAAATCGTTCATCTGATTGTATCCATATATGCATATGTTTTTCACCTGTTTCAGGTGCAATTTCATCACATGCAATTGCCTTTTCAATTTTATAACCAATACAGTCATGTTTAGTAAACCATTCTAATATCTGTTCTTTTGTTAAATGGAAATTTTTACAAATATATGTGAACAAGCCCTTAGTGTTTTGAAAGCGGAATTCTTTCTCACCCTGTGAGGTAGCTGCACTAGAAGCGTTATCATTTAACATTACATCAGAAAATTGAGGATTTGAGGATTAAAGGAATCTCATATATGCTCGAATTCTTCCAATGCTTTTATTGCGTGCTTCATCCTTAGTTTTTTTATCTACTTTAGCCTGTTTAAGGTCTTTTTCGAGTTCTGACCTCAGTTGTGTGACAAGAGGGTCATAATCAATATGCTAATGGTTTTCAGCAAGGTGTTTTGCTCTTTCGATTAAGAGCGTCAATGTAATTCCTAAAATAGGAACAAATTCAGCTATAATGGCTAAGAACGCAAGAAGGTTGAGTTGGTTCATGTCGATTGTTGAAAGAATAAAGATAAAAAATATAACAAATATATGTTGCTTTATATTCTGTGGTTTTATTTTTATATTAAAAAAAAATTCAATTTTTATTTTTTTCAAAAATTTAAATGTATGCATGCCAAGACATTCGTGCATGAATTATTTCAATAAAAATTAATTTGGCTATCCTGATATATCTTAGCTAATAAGCCAGCTAGGGTTACTAGATCGCATTAAAATCAACATAACCATAGCTGGTCTCCTCTCTTTGGCCATTTTTAAACAAGGCTTTGGTTCAAACCACAATAAATAGAAGGGAATTGATACAGGCACGACAAGTTATTTCCTTATATGTTCGGGGCACGACAAGCTCTAATAATAAATATGATATGTTACACAGAGCAGCATAATAGCTGACACTCTTATATTAATTATAGCAGATGGGTGGTGTCATGCCCGTAAGAAGCACAGCACATATGTATTTTGTAAGAAGTCAATTCGATGACATATGTAGGAGGGATGCGTCGTGCCTATGAGAAGCATTGATTTCTTGTGCTTATATATAAGTCTTCTGTTCAAACTTGCTCATAGATCACAGCCAGATTTTAATAAATCGAAGAATTCTGCAATACAGTGTAAAATTACTTGATATAGGATATTCCATACTATTTCTACATAGAATATGAGAAAGTTTCATGAATATTTGCCCAGCAAACGTTTATACTATACGTCAAGAAAAAGTATGTTATCAAGCTGACAGCTGCATTCGGTATAAATTAAAACCATTGAGAGACGAAGGAAATCTATGTGGAGGAAAATTAGAGAAGATATATATTATGGTTTATTATTATAAAAGAGAAATACAAAGAGAAAAACCTTTCTATGTAGCGCTGTGAATGTGTGAAATATTAAGTATAGTAGAGGCGCTCCTGTACAAAAACGTGCTGAAGAATCAAATAAGGTAAGTTTTTACTAATACGTCTTTAAAATTTCCTCCTTATGGGCACGACACATCCCACCTACATATGTCATCGAATTGTCTTCTTACATAATATATACGCACTGTGCTTCTTACGGGCACGACACCACCCATCTGCTATAATTAACACAAGAGTGTCAGCTATTATGCTGCTCTGTGTAACATATCATATTTATTATTAGAGCTTGTCATGCCCCGAACATATAAGGAAATAAATTGTCGTGCCTATATCAATTCCCTTCTGTTTATTGTGGTTTGAACCAAAGCCTTGTTTGAAAAATGGCCAAAGAGAAAAGGGAGAAGAAGCCGATGTTTAAATACTAAGACTGCAAAGAGGTTGTGCAGGCGTATAATCACTAAGGGGATGCTTCACAGTTCTAAGTGACACACAGCGTTATTACAATATGCTGTAAGGAAAGAGCAATTGGGGCAACGGTAACGAAGGGTGATGACGCAACTCGAGATGGCGGAAATTGAAACCGCCGCAGCAAGTTACTATTTCGCCAATGGCAACTGGTAGTTGCTACGCGAAGCTCTTGTCAATATTCACCTTTTCTTCGAGATGCCAGAATCTTCGTCAAGTGACAAAGTCCCAAGTGACAAACCTCTACTGGCCAAAGGTAATAGAAAAAATAAAGTCGTGATTATGTATGCAGAAATTCTAATACATTTCTGTTTTTGAAAAGCTTTTTGAGAGTACTTTTCCCAAGAAACAGCAAAACTAAGTCTTGCAGGCTTCTATTTGCACGACAAAGACTTCTTCATTGCAAACACAGGTAGAAGCTCGCCTGTTGAAACATGGAAAAAGGACTTTCGTGATGCTGTTCGAAGAGAAAAAATCTTGGTAAAACTTATCTAGAGAACGCGTCCCTGATATGTATGTATTATCTTATGGCTAACACATCACTCCTAAAAGAAAAATTCACAGAAGCAACCTGATTGGTCAGAGATCCTACAAGCACTACTTTGCAACGTGAGTAATAGCCATATCAAACAATAGTTTATAGAAAGAAAAGTGTATCTGATCCATTAACAACATATGCATTACAGAAGGCCGATGATAACAATTGCGCCATAACAACAACCAAGCAAAAAGGGAAGGCGCCCGCACGCTCAACGTTATCAGCAGCCATCACAAAAACGACATCATCATCATCATTATGTCCATCATCGTCGTCATCTGCATCATCAACAGCCTCAAAACGAACTCATGTCACCTCAGACAGTTCAAAAAGCGATTCATGCCTGCTTACTGAAGAAGCAAAGAAAGGATTCGAAGATGCATTTAAAAGCATGGAAAACAGTCACAAATGGGTACCTAAAGAAAATACTCAAGGTGAAAAAGTGTATGAACACTGTTTATAAGGCACTTGTAGACAAGTGTTTGGAATGATTACCATCATTCAAGGGTTATGACTACCGTCATAATGACCAGCTACCCACGTCATCAAAAATCAAAGATTTTATCTGACCACCCCTAATTATATTAATCATTTTCTATCATTTAAGAATAAAACTTAATAACTAAATATATAAAATAAATTAAAAATAAAAAAATTAATAAAGTAGTGAACAGCCTGCTATATGGAAGATATCATGTATCAGCGTGGTCTCGATTTCGAATATGAACAGTAAGTCTGTATTTTTAGGGTTACAGAATTGTCTGAGTTTTATGCTAACTCTACTGTTACTTTTGTAGCGCCGTGCATTCGTTTATCTTAGATCCAGCTGACGATTGTTAGGATGAAATCTTTTCTTCAGATGAGATTACAGATTTATATCGCTCCAGTGATATCTCGCTTCCTACCCTCCCTGAATCAAGTCACAATATATTTGATGCATACCAAGAAGCAGTGGCTGGGATCATTGGTGATGACAATGACGACGACGAAAACCACGAGAATGCTGTAGAAAAAAATGGAAAGATCATTGATGCTTTATGGGAAACTGTTGCATACATGGGACCTTACAATCCTCGTACAAGCTACAATGAAGACTGGATACAACGCAGCATCCTTAACTACCTTCATTTATACTGACTTCACAAAATCAATGAAATCACAAGCAATGGTTCAGAAATGGACTATGTGATTAGATTTCGGAGCAATTTGGATAGGCGTCCTGCTATTAGTTGTCTAACTAATTATAATCTACTAGCTGTAATATAGATAATAAAATTGCTATAGTCAGTATAACCATCAGTAGCCGAATTAATTATTGATTTACAATAAAAATAATAAAAATTGAATTTTTTTATTTATATTGGTAGCCTCCCATGAGAAAAAAAAGAGCGATTGTTTAAAGCACATAACAACAAATAAAAATGAACACAACACAACACACTGAACAACTCGATATTGAAATTAAGAATTTAATTAATAATAAATGGACTTTTCTTAATAAATCTTGGCCTGAAATGCAACATAGATTTAATCATAAAACAGCTATTAAAGATATGAAGAATAATACAATAAATGATATAAAGGATGTACTACTTAATAGATTTGGATTTATACCTGAATTTTATTTTCTTACTGTTTTATATGGAAATATTAAATATCCAGGGCTATACCGCGAGATTGAAAAAGGACTTGCATTATTATATCATATGGTATCAGGTGTATCAGGAAAGGATATGCATACTGTTATGCCATATGCAACATTTTATGATTTATATAAGCGGTTCTGGATTACTAACTATAATGAATTGAATAAAAAGGTAAAACAAGATCTAGATGGTATGTTCTCATCACCACATATTTGCATTCTATCAGCAATAATAAACAATCTAGATGGTTTTAAGAATGTTACACTATTTATTGATGGACATGATAGTAAAATAAAGTATTATAAACCAAATGAGTCACATTCACAATTATATTCATATAAATTAAAAGGGCCAGCTGTACGTACACAAGTTATACAGGATATGAATGAAATAATTACACATGTTTCAGTATCTAAAAAATGTGCTATCAGAAATGATGGTACTATGTTTATTAATATGAAACTATATAAAAAAATAAGTGAGGCAGATTGTTTAGGAATGGATGGTGGATATAACTTATTTATACAAAAGTTCAAAGATAATGCGACAGATGCTAGATATAGTTTTTATGATCGTAATTTTTTACATCCTATAAGAAAAGAACCAGGACAAAAGTTAACAATCAATGAGACATACTTTAATAACAAGTTTGGATCATTTCGTTCAGCAATAGAAGCATAGTTTTCTATGTTAGGCTCTAAATTTGAACGATTTAATAATAATCGTGCAGCATTGCAAATAACTGATATAAGATATTATAATATTCAGTTTCGTGTTGCTTATATTCTTACTAATATATGGCGATTTGTAAATAAGTATAATATAGAGGTACAACCACATCATACATTATGGTATGGAAAAGATTTTGAATTCCCAAGTAAGAAAAACAAACTTGACTTGGTATTTTCAAATGAGCAAAAAGTAAATACTGAATATAACGAAATGGTTGACATGCAGCAGAAATTTTTACAGCTTAACATTAATCATTCAATAGATATGGCTATAGATAGTGAGGACGAAACTGAAAATAATACATCTAAACGCAAGAGAAAAAATCAAAGAGAACAAAGAAATATAGAATATAGTAATTCATATGAAATTGAGAAGATTGTAGGACATGTGTATACTGATAATAAGTACATATTTGAGGTTAAGTGGGTTGGATATAGTGTAAAGGATAATAGTTGGTTAACAGTTGATAAGTTTAATTCCCAGGAAATGCTACATGAATATATGGCCACACATGGTATTCAGCTCTAAATTAATTTCTTACTTATTTGCTTATTAAAAAATCTCATATTGAAACTGACCGTATCAACCTTTCGTTTACTTACCCAATTATATTTATGTTTTATGCATTCATTAGTTATACTTGTACTTATATTAGTATCTGTTGATTTATTTTTGACATCAGTTTCTTTTGTTATATTTATATCATCTATTATAGCCTGTTTTATATCCTTATGCTTTTTAAAATATTCTTTTGGCTGTATTTCTTCTACTATTTGCTTGTTTCTCTGTTTATTTTTATTGTGTCTTTTTTTCTTTTTACGTTTTGGTATATTATTTGGTATGTTGCAGTCACTGCTTTTCTCTGATTCAGATGTACTTACATCTATGTATTTATGTTTCTCTATATCTTCTGGTGGGTTTTCCCAATCAGTATGGTGCATACTGACTTAAACCGTGAGCTGTCGAAAATTGAGAATTTTTGAAACGCCGCGGCTAAATTTGCACCCGAAACACCCGATATGTTTCTTCATATATCATACTCTATGTTTGCACTGGTCAGGAAATTACATGATCGATAGCTATAATCATTTATTTATGGAAGTCAGAAATAACAGAGGTAAAAATAAAAACTAATCACTTGCTCCAATTCTGCGGTGGGATTTGTAACTTCTAGAAGTAAATTTCTCTACGATCTTGGCAGCTTCACGATCGTCTTTCATATCCTTGTATGCTTGGATATAACGCCAGCAACGGTTGTAGTATCGACGTATTGCCAAAGGAGGATCATCAGGAGGAGACGTGCGATCAAGATAGCCATCGAGATTATTTTTTAAGGAAGAATAAGAGTAATTACACTCTTTTCTTGCAATACGTTTCGACGCGCCCCAGTACCTTTCGATCCAGTTGGTTTCACAATGGTACTTCGGATACAATGCAAAGAGATGGCCTGCCTTGAGTACAGCTTCGTGCAACATCGTTTTTTGGGCAACGAAGTCAGGTTGAGCTTGAAGCATATGGAAGGGGCAGCAGTCATTGTACTCATTTGGAGGAGCTTTGCAATTGGTTATCCAATGTTGTTTCTTTGCCTCGAATTCACTCCAACGACCAAGACCACGCTCTTCCAGTATAGTCCTAAGTCCTTTTTGAATCCAGGTTCGGACCTCTTTTGGACCACGTTTTGTCTTGACTACTTCTTTTTGCAAAATATAGAAGTTCTGTATCTTCTGTTCGCCGTTAAAATCGGTGTACTTGCCAGGTAAGATAACTCTTTCTTCGATCCCCTTTAGCACTTTGTCCTTCAAGGTAAATTTGCTTGCTAATTTTGCACTTGCTCCGTAGGCATTGTGGTTGCTGGACTGGTCGAATACAAACAAAGCCTGGCAGTCAGGGTGGAGTCGCTCAAAGAGAGGAATGGCATCTTCTTTTAGCTGCTCCAGCATATCTTTTGAGGTCCAGTAGCCATCACGGTTCACACCTGCGAAAAAGAACTTCCGTGATTTCCAACCTTTGATCCTCATGGTTCCATGACATGGGCACTGAAACTCGCTAACCATGATTGATCCTCCTGGAGACTTCTTTCTGATTGGATTTTCACCTTCATGGAGCCAAAGATCAGTTTTGCCATCGTTTGAGTAGAAGGTTGATTCGTCATGGGTTACCATGACAATCTTCCTTTGTCCTTCCGGTAGCCGAGGTTCTTGGATGACATGCTCTTGCCCTTCAGGATACGTTTCCATGAATTGCTTATATTCAATCATCTGTGCTGCCCACGTTTGACGATATTTCACCACATCTTCGCGCTCGTGACCGTCGACGTAAACGTCCTTTTTGTTCGTACGATACTTGTAGCCCCATTCATGAAGGTAATTGCTTAGGACAGAAGCTGATATTTGTCCTGGAAGTCCAAGGAGTGTCGGAATGACAATCTCGTTCAGAAACTTCAACAATTCTGGCAAGTCTCTATGCTGTGGTTTTGTTTCTTTCAGCCAATGCTGTGCTGCTTCAGCCACGTCTTCATCACTTAGAAGTGATAATCGCTTGACGTGTTTGCCTTGCTGATGTGGTGAAATGCGGCCAGTCTCGAGATACTGTTTGGCATAAAAACATCGAATTACCATGGGTCGATAATACTTGGATGGACATATCCATGCAATCCTAGCTGCTATTTCGGATGCTGCTATTGCTCCTTTGCCTCCAACGCGTTCGCGGAAATACGCATGGACCGCAATGTATTTTCTCAGCTCAAAGTCATTCAAGCCCCTTTCCGCCTCTTTCTTAATGTTCATTCGGGGAACAACGAGAGGTTCCAGCCGTTCGCATGCTTCTTCCATAGTCATCATCGGCTTGTAGTCGAGCAGCGACTCTATCCATTCTTCATTGGCACTTGTCGTCTCTTGCGACGCTTCTGTGTCGGTTGTTTCAGCAGTGCTACGCATGAAATCGGTAATACGGTAAGACCCATTTGCCTTCTTTGCTGCTATTTGCTGCCGGTAGTACTTTGTCGTTCTTCCATTTCCCCAGTATGGGCCACGTGAGCACACTTCATTACTCGATCGTATACCAAAATCAGGTATAGAAGCAGTCGAATCAGGTTCATCGTCGATTGATGCAAGTATCTCGAAATCGTCAAGTTCCTGATCTTCAACAATCGGGATTTGCACAGTGCGATCCTCAAGTAACGGTGAAATGGA